ATGTTAGTTATGATAGTTTAGTTATGATGTAAATACAATAAAAATTAAACCGAGTTTTATAATAATTATCATTTTGATCCATACATTGGTAATGTGTGACTGGGCCTCGTGTCACTTTATGTTCAATAAATTGGGCCCTGAGGTCAAAAAGGTTAAGAGCCCCTGGTCTAAACGACTTGGTAAATGAAGCCCACAGATGGTTTGTAGACTGACCTGACGCAGCATTCCACAGCTCGGTAACAGTGGAGAAGCTCACTGTGGAGCGTGCACAGCTGCAGGCACGACAGAAACACTTTTTCTGCGTCGCCGTACCAGCCAGCATCAGACAAGAAGCCACCTACAGTCAGAGAGAAAAGATGACTGTAGAAAGCACTTAAAAAGAGCAGATAAGAAGCTCCGGCTGATGATGGAGGTATTATTAATCACATCTGAGTGTCCATCCACAGGATATTTACCCAGCACAAAGCCAAACTGGATGGCCTTCTCTTTGACGTGAGCGTCAGACTCTGCGATGTAGGAGCAGCGGCGGCTGAAGGAGTTTGCTAGAACTGAGGCCACTTTCACCCCGTGGTCCATTAGGGCCTGGAAACAGTGGTGCAGCAGGTGTCTGAAGCAGAAACACACAGTGCACATCAGTAACGACAACATGCACATTATCAAGTGAAGAAACTGTACACAACTCTAACATATAATTAAAAGGCCCAACGTGAATCCTTTTATGGTTTGTAAGGTTAGGACTTAATTATAGCAGCAGAAAATCCAGTAAATACAGAGGCTAAAGAAGCTCAGATTACTTTATTATATTTAACAAGTTTAATATGTTTATTTAATGACAGGTCTTCACTGGATGTCTGAAACCATGTTTGGGATCAATAAAGTATCTACCTCAATGTTTAAATCGTTCAGACAGAAAAGATTTGTTATTTTACAGGTTTTCCAAAGGAAGCCATCAGAGAAATGAGTATACTGAAGACGCAAAGAAAATGACTCCAGAATATGTAGTAAACATTTCAAATCAGGCCAATTAGGCAAAATGTTTACTGCCAGGGGCTGACAAGATTTTTTTCGTCACCTGCCCAACATGAAAAGTTACCTGCCCGAAACAAAAATGTTCAAAATTTGATAACATATAAGAAAAACGTGTTCTTTATTTGTACTACAAAAATACAAACATGATTCTACAGAGGTACATATTAAATGACATCTGATTAAACAGATGCACACCGAGTCACTAACAGTCAGTTAAGTATTTTATCAAAAACATCTTCAAAACCTTTTTTAGACCTTTCCAGTGTTTCCCCTAGAGTACTGGTCTTGGGAGGGCTGCTTATAAAAACAGAATGATCAACAGCAGCAGCTTTGTTTTAAATATAATTTACAGAACATGAAAATGTCTGAAATTTGCATTAATTAAATCTTATATAGTGAATCTCATATCTAAAGATACACTGAAGATATCTTGAACTGGAGTCTCCCTACAACATGATGATAAATCTGATGTTATTTATACAAGTCAGAATATAATTAGAGATATCTTAAATATGTATTTTGAATTATCAAAATATATTAAGAGATGTCTATTTGTTTGTCTGTTTCTTTCATTTATAAAAACAAAACAATCTATGTACAGC